GGCCTTTCTTGCCTTTGATATTATGCTTAGAATGTCCTGCTATAATTTGTTGCAGTCCTCCCCAATATTGAGTTCTTACTGTTGGTTATGACGTCTTGCTGTTTTCTGACTTATTCTGTTCACTGTGTTGTCTTCAATTCTGCAGCAAGTATTTTGAGGCCCCGTTGATTCACAGTTTGGTGAACTGTCTGATCTGGGTGACCACAGCCATGTTCTGGGCTTTTCCTCCATGGCGTGTTTGTGAAGGAGGTGTGATGGGCATGTTTGGAGAGTATGGTTCTGATAGAATGTCAAGCACAGTTTCCTTGCCCTGGGGAAACCTTCCAGTAGAGACTCCTGTGTCAGATCATTCTTCTGCTCTTTAGTGATGTTCCTGGCCAAGAGTCTTTACTGTGTCTTGTTAAAACATGCCTCGCTGAAAGCACTCGCAAAGTTTCTGAAAGATTTATGTGGAATGAGTCCCCTTCGATGTGGTCTGAGGGTCTTTGTGAATTGTAAAGGATTAATTATAGCTTTACTCCCAGAAAAAAATACATTGAGTACGTGGGAATGTTAAACTCAAGCCATCACTAAACTGTGAACGGGTGAAGGAAAGTGAGCGCAGGGTGGGTGTTAGGACAGGGGTAAGTTTGCTTAGGGTGGGATGTGGGACTCAGTCAGCTGTGTGTTGGACTTGTCAGGTTTAGAACTCACTGATTAAAATGTATCAAAAGGTGCAACAAAGTTTTAATGAAGAAAAATGTACTTTGTCACAGGTTTCCACATCCTTGTGTAAAGGAATGATCTTTAACGTTTTTGTGTGTCTGACTTAAAGCACTGTTGTCCCAACATGCGGCCATTTGTTAGGGCTTGCACAGTCAGTCCTGGCGAGGAGCCAGCACTTTCCCACAATGATCCAACTTGATATAGCAAACAGACAAAACCACTGGCACTGTGTGCTGGGTTGAGAAGCAAAAAGTTCAAACTAATGAGAGTAAGGAAGAGCAGATGCTTGCCTGCCAGCCATGTTTGTTGTGAGGAAGAACAGCGAGACCTTTGAGGTCAGTTAATGTGCCTGATCACCAGGACCTGCCACTGATGCCAGCCATGGATGGAGCTGCCAGCTCTCCATTCCAGTACTGGACTGATGAAGTGAGTAGAACCTTGTGAATATCGCAGTCACTTTCCGTCTCGGACTCAGTGGACGGTCATATTCTTTCCATGTACTGGGAGAAATATTGCAAACGCTGACATGCCGCTGGTGTTCTGTCCTGAGGGCTAGTAGCTGGGCATGGACCTTCCTAAACCCTCACGGCTGAAAGGAAAGTGTTAGTTAGGAATTAGGCGCTGCTTTTTTGAAAACTCCGTGCTCCAAACAGCGAGGGTTTGTGAAGCTCACAATCTGCACCCACCCTGTAATGACACACCGATAGCAGCAGAAAGGAAAACCATCAGCTATCTGGCTACTGTTCTGTGCAAGTGTTCGGGTTTTTGATGCGTGTGGTTAATGTCTTGTAAAATATAATGTGCTCAAAAATACCGTCTGGACAAATATTGCAGTGTGTGAAAGGTAGGGAAGTTGAAGGGAGTTTTTAAACAAAATGCAAACCCGCGGAAACGTGGATGATGTCAATCCGTTGTGTAGAAGTACCTTTTCCGATGATCGTTTCACCTGGGTGACCCCCTGGCTCCTGCCCCGAAAAGGGAAGCTCATGTTCGGCTGATCGCCCCCTGTATTCCCCCGGTGGGTTGGATCGTTCCTGAGGCCGGTCTTTCTGACCATTCAAGGCAATGGTGAAAGTTCCCTATTCAGGCACTTAGCTGCTCTCCCTCCCATAGAGGTGCGTATAGTGAGGGGAGCTGCTTCTACAATGGCTAGTCAGGGCCATGTGTCTTTGGCCGCTGCATATCATGCAAAAGGATGTCTTTGGGACACTTTGCTGCTCTCCACAGGCGGCCCTTTATAAACACGAAGAGAACCTTGTAGCTAGTGACACAGACTTAGATTGTCCAATGAAGAAACAAGAAAAAGTTGTTAAATCTCTCTAAGTGGCCTCCCTGTGGAAAGCAATTCAGAGAAGATGGAGAGCGGACTGAAACCGGAGCGGGTGGACTGTGGGGACCGGAGCGGGTGGAGTGTGAGGACCGGAGCGGGTGGAGTGTGGGCGGGG